GAAAAGTAGGGTAAGGGGTTTTTCTTTAGCACAAAGGCAACAGCAACAGAAACGCTTAAGAGGCATTAATTTTACAACAAAGAAAAAAAAATCGTCTCGGATGGGCTGAGACCCCAAAATACAAATTCAGTTGTCACCATTCTCTCCGCCCAGAGATCCCGATTACCGCTTCGTAGGCTGGCGGGACACGAAACTTTATTACTGTACCGTGTCTCTGGTTTTTTCACATCAACGGTTTCTGGCATGTTCTTTGTTTCTACTAGGAAAATCTCACTCAATGCCAAAAAATAACTGTTTTGCGCAGTACGGTTGGTGCTTTGGTAGCTATTCAAAATGGTCTTCAGAACACACAAAAATTATTTTCTTATTAGGATAGAATATTTCTTAAGCCTTTGGATGCTGGCTAGAACTATGTCATTGGTTATCCTTGGTCTGGAATTCTCAGCCTACATGATCATGTGAACCAATTCCCTATAATAAATCTCTTTCCTTGTGTGTCTGTCCTGTTGGTTGTGTTTCTCCGGCGAGGCCCAACCCACTCTTTATATTAATATACAAAAATTCAGCACTTTTTGATTTTCAGTCTTCAACCATCCATCATCCCAGTGAAGACTTTCACTTCATTGAGTACACCTTTATACCCGAAGAGACTGAAGGAGTGAGGTAGACTCAATACAATCACTGATAATATTCTCATTAGAGCCTAATGAGTGTATTAGACACAGGAGGAGGGAGAAGCAGGCCCCATGCAGGGAACCCGACGTGGGACTCAATCCTGGGACTCCAGGATCACGCCCCGGGCCAAAGGCAGGTGCTAAACCACTGGGCCACCCAGGGATCCCCCCTCCAGTGTATTTTAAATAAGAATTAATAAAAATATTATGTTAGTGTACTAAGGATACATAAAAATAAAGGCGTTTTAAAATGATGGAAACCTAAAAAAATAAAATAAAATAATAAAATAAAATAAAATAATGGAAACTTATTTATCGTTCATTGTTTTCCGTGCAGTTAATCCTATTTCCTGTGTTATTATGTTGTTCCTAGAAGTATATCTTAAAGATAAAATTTCCATTAATCCATAAAATCCATAGGACATTATTTACTCATCTAGATATTACATTATGGCATTTATGAATATGGGACTTGTTTCTTTGGTTATTCTTTTTTAAATAAAAAACTGCTATTTAGTCTAAGTACTCAGTGCCCCCCCCCTTTTCGTGAATTGAAATAAGAAGTTTCTGATGTTTGTATTGTTTTTGAAAGCCGATGCTGTTAATCTGTAGGATGCAAATAGGATTTAGTTTTAAAAGGCAAATACCTATGTTTGTTTCTGAAGTATTTATCATTTTTTATTTGATGTTACTTATATAAGATGGTCTTCATGCAGTCTTGCTCTCTTTTTTTTAAAGTATAAATCTAATGCATGTTTATTATGGAACATTCAGTGAATGTACATAAAAATAAGAAAAGAGAAGACAATTATAGCGTCCCTTTGAAAACAGTTAACTATTTGTTATATATTCTTTTTTTCCAGTCATATGTGCATGTCTATGTGTACCTATATGAATACACACATCTGCGTGATTGTATTTATTTTACGTATATATTTTTTAAAAAATGAGTATGGTATTTTATAACTTGCTTATTTTACTTAACGTTGTGAATATCTTCCATCAAGTGGTTTTAGTAATTCATTTTTAATGACTTTAACTATTCATCAAACTGATTTACCATAATTTTACAAGTTACCTATTATTGGACCTTTGAAATACTTTTTTCTTTTTCATTTTATTTTATTGGTTTTAAGAGATTCTACTTAAAGTAATCTCTATACCCAACACAGACTCAGACCCAGAACCCTAAGATCAAGAGTTGAATGCTCTGCTAACTGAGCCAGCCAGGCCTCTCTGTTTTTCTCTGTTTTGAATAATGTATTGATGAGATGGGCATCTTTTTTCCTTTTTTTTAAAGCTTTGTACATATAGAAATTGCTTATCTAGTTTACATACTTCAATTTGGAAGGTATCTATCTCTTTCAAGGTTTTTGGTTTTTTTCAAGGTTTTGATTCTCATTGTCAGAATCCTCAGAAAAGTTATACCCTAAAAAATACATATCGTAAGCCTCATAACTTTTTCTTTTATTTCTTAAATGATGTATTTGAGACCTCTGTTGCTCAAGAGACTGTATGGAATACTTGTAAGGCCACATTAAGAAATTACATTAATTACAAGTTACTACACAGATGTTTCATTATTAAGTTTTGTGATGGGTAAATCACAACTAAATAGAACTAACCTCTTATTAGGAATCTGAGTTCTTAGTTAGCTGATGAAGAACTATAGTAAATATGCTTAACTTTGGACATAAAGAATGAGGGAAATGCATAGCATAGAATTTCCTGACTCTAAGCATTACAGCCAGTTATTCTGGAAGACCGTAGAAGTAATTTTTAGAAGTTGTTAGGAATAGCACAGTGTTCTGTGTTTGGGGTGATGAAAGTAAATCTCATGTCAGATAGGTAGCTACTCCATGGTGTCTACTGGGTGAATTGCCACTATATGGAACCAGTTGTTGGCAGAAGTACTTGGTTGGCCCTTTGGTGCGAGTGCTTGCTTCTTCCTTTCTGGAGCCATGCAATAAATGCATATTATTTCATTGCACTCAGAAACTAGAATTAACTAGGCTGCATTGATTAGCCCATTTAGCAAAAACATTCTATAGAGATGAAATATCAGCACTTTTTTTTTTCAAATTAACTTGTACTGAAATGCTGGAATAGTTTGAGCAAGCTTTTATTTTGTGACTTTTGTCCTTTCTAATGATCTGATTGGTAATCCCTACAAATTAATATACTTTGCTAATCCCATTTCCTTAATAAGAAAATTATCATAGCTTAAAAGTGCAACTGGATGAAAATTGCTAAATGGTCTTAATGGCAAATATCACTGTATGTAATTAAGATGTATGACAGTGCATAGTTTATGCCAAAGTTTATTTTATAATGGAAGAAAATAACCATTTGAAAGCCTATAAGTCATTTAGAGAGCACTACTTTGAAATTGACAATCAGAAGCCATAATTAATGAAGACTTGTAAAAAATAATTTAAATTCACTACTGCCATAATATATCACTGAAAAAACAAACAAACAAACAAAAAAACAAAAAACAACCCTCTTCTGGCAGTGGAAGAATAGGTCACAGGTTTGTGAAGAAGCTGAGGCCCAGTTACAGTCCGTAACCCGTCTAAGATCTCAGGCCTGGTCTTAGTTAAAAGCAACCATTAGTCTGCTCTCCTTTGGTGAATCTGAAAGACATCTTGGCAAATCAGCCATGGACCTCAGAACGTGAGTATATAACCAAGAATAGAAACATCCTGCTTGTATAAATAGGGTTGGGATCCAGGATATCCTGTTTAAAAAAAAAGACGTAATTTCTCCAAAAATACACATGACCGATTTATCCTATTAATGTGCATGCAATCTGTGAGAATCAGGGAGAAAAAAAGAAATAGAATTTGAGGTTACAAGAGGAGATGAATACTGAGAAAAAATGAAGTGGAAGAAATAACAGGAACCATCGGTATAGTAAGCGTAGTCTGTACTTTGCCTGATAACTGATCGTTTTGTCATGTGAAATCTTTACATACGTTCTGAACTCTAGAGCGGAATTCATCAGATTTGAAATTTCAGTTTCTTAGGTAGTCAGAGTCCCCTTACCTGCCGTGACTTGAGCTTGCTTTGGGGATTAATTGAACTAGTTAGACTAGTGGTCCATGAGTACTGAGTGTGTTACCCAAACATTCTTAGGTTTTAGGGAGGAAGCAGAGTTGTCGGTCAGGAAGAGATGTCCCGGTGCAACCCTTGCAACACTGGATTCTGTAGTAATGCCCTTCATACGTGTTCTGGATAAATTACATTCTAGGAGGGGAAATTACAATCAAATGTGTTCCACCTTCAGTGCGACAAATAGGTGTACCAACATTTTAGTGATGTGGATCTTCGTTCAAGTCCACGCTGATGTGAGGAAACCTGCTGGTCTTTCTGCCGAGGTCCCTAGGCTGGTAGCAGCAGCCGGTGTACAAGTCCCATGTTTGTACTCAGCACCAAGACTGTGTCGGAGGGTGGAAGCTCGAGCTGCTGTGGCATTGGGACTTCCTAGGTCCTATGACAGACAACCAGCAAATGTTCATGAAATGAATGGTAATGAGGTTAGACTAGTGTTTTTGGACCAGTTGTCTCGCAGCTCCAGGGGAGCAGGACTGCAGCAGCTGAGGTGATGAGCTGGTAGCTTAGTGGGCAGGGCTCCAAGGAGGCAAATCCACTCTGTGCCAGAGTCTCAGGCCTAACAAAATGGACATTTTCAACTCCCGTCCTTATGTTTACACTGCCAAATACCCTTATTCCCCGAGCTTAAGTTCAGAGTGGTTAGGACAGAGTGGTCCGGCAGCCCAGCTTGTGCAAATGAGGATCTTGGGATCTGAAATCAGAACGGATGGTGCCTGAACTTAGTTAACCCATCTCCCTGCAAGGGAAGGATGATAGGGAAAAGGGAAGATGCCCCCTCCCCATAAACAAGGCCAATCAAGTCTTGGGCCTGTTTGTTTCCTTGTTTGATAATAAAAGACCTTTGCTTAGTAAGACTAGAGGATTGGGATCTGGATTTGAACCAGGCCTTACCTTCTCTGTTTGACTTCAAATAAGTTACTAATTGTACTTCAGTTGACTGATTATGTAAAGCAGATTGTTTCAGAGAGGAAATGAATCGATGCATCTTACGTACTTTGAACAATATCTGTGGCTTACTAAAAATGGAGTTCCCCTACTTACCAGTTTGCTCTCTTTCTGTGGATCTGTTCTGGAAGACAGTCAGTCCTTTCCAGGTACATTTAATGCTCAAAATGCATTGGCATTATTTTTAGCGTTTTTTTCCTATTATTAGGTACTCCCTTTTGTTTATATGTCTACTTAGCTCTGTTACACGTAATGTCATTTCAGGTTCCTATATGATAGTGGACTCCTCAGATCATGACCCTGGAGAAAAAGCCAGACTTCAGCTGCCTACAATGAAGGAGAATGACACTCACTGTATTGATTTCAGTTACCTGTTATACAGCCAGAAAGGGTTAAATCCTGGCACTTTGAACATCCTGGTTAGGGTGAATAAGGGACCTCTTGCCAATCCAATTTGGAATGTGACTGGATTCACGGGCAGAGATTGGCTTCGGGCTGAGCTAGCAGTGAGCACCTTCTGGCCCAATGAATATCAGGTAAGCATCTGCGCTTTTTTGGTTTATGCTTTAGTGTCATTGGACCTCGTTGTGCGTCATACTTAGAGGTGAGACCTAGCCCTTTGGAACCGAGGTGGTCACTTTTGCCCCTTCCTCTCGCCCCGTTCTTGAGGACATGTTTAAATACATTGGCACACAACCTTTAAAGTAGTGAGAATATTTACACGAACTGAAAAAAACCACTAGTCTTAGGTACAAAGTCTGTTGGTTATTTGACGAAGAGCTACTTATTGACAGATCTATTTCCATGTTTCTGTTTGGGAAGAAAATGTCCTTTTTGATTTGAGTGTATTATTCAAACTGGATGGGTTTGCTGACTTCCTGACAATAACATTTGGAAAATAAACATGAAATAGTGTTTCATGAATTATACCATCTAAGGGGGAGGTATTTTGAATAGTTATTTACATTTTTTGTCAGTTACATGGAGTTTCAAAATAAGCAAACAGAGAAGGAAAAGCTATCCATGTCTCCCCCCCCAGGAATACTTAATATAATTATGACTAAACCAGACAATGAATAATATCAGTATCTCCTTTATGCTTCATAAGACTTATTTTATATAGTTTAACAAAAAAAAAAAAAGAAAAAAAAAGGATCATTTGCCAGTTTGGAGAGTTGCTCAGAATCCTCCCCGTAAGGTGCAGTACCACTACCCCCTGCTTTTTGAAACATCACCTTACACCACTTTGCTTTTACTGAAGTGAAGTTTTAGTAAACCGTATGCTAACCGAAAGAAATCTAAAGAGGGTTTCCGCTTTTCTGAAAAAAAAAAAAAAAAAAAAAAAAAGGTGGAAAGCTAAAATTGCCTGCAGACTCTGTTTTGCAGCGAACCATTATGGAAGCAGCACACAGCCCAGCTGCAAGAGGCGTCCCACCAAGCTCCTTCTCCAGGAACTACATTCAACATGTTAGCATCAGGCTGCAGTAGCTTTGAACTATGCGAGCATCTGTGCTTTATCTGGATTTATTTTTGTGCATCTGTTAATAAGATGTGTTACCTAAGGTATCAGAAGAGGCAAAAAGCTTATTTTTAGGGGTCAGGGGATGTTCAAAAAATTTTCCATACAAATTAATATAATTGCTTCTTCATTTTCCCCTGTTTATGTTTATGAAAAGTTTCCTAAGAACCCTGTGCTTGCGATAGCTGGGGAAACCTGTCCCTGGGCACGTTCCAAAATTCATTTTTGTGTCAGGTCTTGAAATTCGAACTTTTTGTTTAATTAATTAATTAATTAATTAATTTTTTTTTTGAAATTCGAACTTTTAAAAGACTTGTCTGTTTGTAGTTCGTTTACAGAACCTAATGAGAATGCATATGTAAAAGTATGTTTTAAGTTGGTCAGTGGGTGGATTTATAAGCAAAAAGCAGTTCGTTTCCACTTCTTAAAAATGAACAATTTCTTCAGGTGAAACTTGTCTTTAGGTCCTGGGTTAGGAGACAGAATGCATTGTTCTAATTGCTTTGTCATGAGTTGGTTTTCTGCTTTATTAAAAAGCCTCTCACTTCATAGGTACAGTTCCACCGGGAAGGTTCTTTGTTCAGGGCTGTGTGTCTGTGGAGGTTGCAGGGGGTGTTGATTCCATTATCCCGGAGCTGCAGGATGTCGTTCCTCCGTGTCTGTCCTCCCAGGGCCCTCCCAGGGGGCGCATGTGGCCGGCGGGTGGCTGGAAGGGTAGGAAACTAATGCTAAGGGCCTGGACGCTCATCTCTGGCTACGGTGGGTCCTCGTGTGCTGGGTCACCCTCAGAACGTGTTGTCATCACACTGACTTCGCTAGAACCTGTCATTGGAGCTTAACCCTGAAAAGAAAAAAGCTCTGATTTAACAAAAGAAAACTGCCAGCGTATTCAGCCTCCTTACGATAAATGTAATCCAAATAACAAATCAGCAAAATTGTTAGAAATTTGGTGTCTAGAGTCAGATTGCCCGTGTCCAACACTTTGCTAACTGCTATCTGTTCGTTAAGGAGTCAAACTGTTAGTTCTATCTTTTAGGAAAAACACAGATGTGGATTTTGATGAATCCAACAAATAATATATCTGGGTATCACGCTAATACGCCTTCACAACTAAGAAGTAGCATCCGTATAATTAATTACCTTTTCTTGTTTTTCTCAAGATCTGTCTTTGAGTCATTGATATTAATACCATTTTCTTAGGGCACACATTGCTGCGATGCTAATTTTCATGCTGAGTTACACTTCCATGGACTGGATGATTCTTTATTCAGTCTCATTTTGTCTGACAAAGCTCCCTAGGGTTACGTAGACCTTTGGTGTTTTAAGCAAGATGCGCAAACGTGCCTGTGCAAGTTTCAGCCTGGCCAGTGAGATCTTTTTGGGGATCTTCTGACAGAGAAGAAGATTACTACGTAACTTGGAACCTGTGGGTAAACATTTCTTTCTTGCAGATTGAAATTTGAGCAATAGATCATTACGTAAGTGATTAATTACTTTTCTTTTCACATCGTTTTTCCTTAACCTGCAGAACTTAACAATCAATGAGAGCAAAACACAGAGTAGAATAATTTTTATCCATGTGCTTAGTGCCCAATAAATTACTTGATTGATGATTTTATTGATTCAGTCATTTAGATACCCGCTTGTACCTTATATCAGTTATTAGAAACACCAGCATGATGTAAACTATATTTATGTAGTAGCGTTTTTGCTATTAGGAAATAACATGAAAAACTTTTGACTGTTGCTTAATGCAGAGTCTTTATGGATTTTTAAAATTAAAAGGTAGCCATTGCATTATGCTATGTAGGAAGCCTACGTACTTTTTAATTCTTAAAGAAACTGCATATTTTTAAAATTTTTCCTAGACTCTAGATTAAATAAACGTGTGATATGCACAGAAACTATTCTTCCTCATTCCACAGTTTCTTCAATTCTCCAGAGACTTTACACTCTCCAAAACTTCTTTAAGTTTTTGTTTAACCTTCTCACTTTTTAAAATTCCTTTTTCTTTTGTATTTCTAGTGGAAATTCCTATCTTTATTTGCCTGAGCCATTCCTTACCCAACCATTGCTCCAGTACACTCCTTATCACCAGCTTCAACAACAACGACAATCAAAAAAAACATTATCCCAGGGTGCTACTACCTTTAATTAGTATAGGATAATTTTTATGTAAAAATCATATTCCCAGAAGTAGGGTAAAAAAAAAATCCAAACCTCTACCATAAGCTAGCTCTTCTCTTCTTCCCTTTTCTGTAGAACTAAGAATCTGAAACAGATGTAGTATATCTTTGGTGTGATTTGCCCTTCCTAGAAATGTCATCCAGCCAGATGCTAAACAGAAGATGTCCCCACAGGAAATTGATCATGCTGCGGACTGTTCAATAACGAGGAGATAGCAGTTTTTGACCCCAAGAAACTTGAACTCTTATTCGAAAAAGGAAAAAAAATACATGAAATTATGAAACAAAGGCAAAATTATGAATTTTGGTGACCTGCCAAATCAATATACGGCTCATGGACTTTGGAGCCAGCTCTTCCTTGGTGAACCTCGACTCTGCTATGTAGCTGTTGTCCAGCCTGGAGTATATTCCTTAATTTTTTGAGTACAGTTTCCTTATTTGATAAATCAGTACCTAACTGATTGGGTTGTTGTATTGAGTTACCTTTACACACACACACACACACACACACACACACACACACACACACACGTTTAGAAGGGTGTCTGACACTATGTGTTGACCATAAAGTCAGATCAACGTGATGGGTAAATACAAAATTTGCAAACTCTTGGATTTAGTGCATGTTCAGCATTTTCTTCTGTTTTGAAAGCGTGCTGGTCTTTTTTATGGTCACTTTTTTCTCAAGGCTTCACTTTTGTAGAGCAGTTTTAGGTTCACAACAAAATGGAGAGGAAGGTGCCGAGATTCCCCATATACCCCACGTGGCCGCACACAGGGGCTGCTCCCTCATTATCCCCATCCTCCACCACGGGGACACTGGTTGCACTGGACGAGCCTGCCCTGACACACGCTCATCCCTCGCAGTTCACAGGGTTCACCTTTGGGGCCGCACACGTGTCTAATGGCAGACAGCCATCACTAGCATCACAGGGAATTGTCACTGTCCTCGAAATCTTCTTTCCTCTGCCATTCCATCCATCCCTCCTCCTCCATGGTGTACTTTTCAGGTTTTGCGCTTATTCCTTTATTTCTTTTTTTAAAGATCTTGTTTATTTGGGAGAGAGAGCAAGCATGAGTAGGGGCAGGGGCAGAGGGAGAGGGATGAGGGCCTGTTGCAGGGTTCCATCTCCGGACCCTACGATTTGTGTTTATTAAAATGTCTACTGGGGGTGCCTGAGTGGCTCATTTGGTTAAGAGTCTGACTTCGACTCAGGTCATGGTCTCAAGGTTGCAGGATGGAGCTCAGCCTTGGGCTCTGGGCTCAGCAGGGAGTCTGTCCACTGGCCGTCCCCCCAACGCCCTTCTCTCTCATGCTCTAGCTCTCTCTCAAATAAATAAAATAAATAAAGTAAATAAAATAATAAAATGTCTGCTTCCTTGACAGCTTATTATCATGAAGTTACCCCCCTCTAACCTCTAAGGGGCAAACAGGCGATGTCCCTTTTCTCCGGACACTTACATTCTAGCTGGACACTGGCGGAGATAAAAATGTATATCAGCTGTGGAGTCTGCCTTTAGGGAGCCTAGTCCAGATGGAAAATGTGAGATACACACAGATAAAACTTGAGACAGTATAGCATTTGTTAAATGACTTAAGGGAAATAGATGTGAAATATGGTGGGGAAAATGAAAACAAAAGATAGATTTGTTTCCAAAGTAATTTGAGGCATAAATGGGACTATCATTCTTGCCTCTTGATTCCTGTATTTCTAGATTAGTATGCTTTTCACCACACCACATTGTTTTTCCTAAACCACAGTTATTGGAAGCCAACACTTTCTATGGTGAAAGAGAACAAGCAAATGTAAATTTTGCTTAAGACATAAGC